TGTTGGCTCTTGCCATTTCATTCTTCCAGAGCAATACATTCAAGATGTCTTTTTTTTTTTTTGGCATGGTAAATGGGACTTTAAAAATTAGCAAGATGTTCTTTTATGTCCCTCATTGTTTAATTTACAAAGATCAACAGCATCACTATCTGGTAAGAGTCCACATTGGTCAGACAAAATAACAGGATAAATATGCTATATTTTAGATGGCTTATGGTCCTAGTCTAGCAATTAGATGTCTTCCTTTTCTGAGTCATGCCCTGCTGTTGCAAATGAGCTGAGATTTGACTTCACCATCTTCTAGAAATTGATCATGCTAATCCTTGCGCAAGAAAGTGAAGGGATTTGATCTTCTTTTAGCATAAAAATTGTGAAACTTGACTTGATTACTTGTAAAAATTCACCTGGTTGTTCTTGGTTCATGCACAGATGCTGGTGTACGAGTTCATGCCAAATGGTACCTTGCGGGACTGGCTTTCTGGTATGGAAAATCTTCTAATTTTATGGCTCTTTAATCTATTCCATGTCTACATAGTATTCTATGCAGAATGTTTACAATAGTTTTACGTAGTTTTAGATCATAGAATCATCTATCTATAATTGCTGATTGAGTAATAGGTTTGTAGTCGAGCAAATCGTTTTGTTTACCTGTTATGAAGGACTATCATGGATCATCATATTTCACAAATGGACTGTAAATTCAGACAATCCTATGTGTAGCACATAAAATAGTTTCCAGTATCATTCATTTTCAACTCAATGTTTTAGGATACATCATAAATGACTTCTTGAATGCTCAAATTTGATGGTCACTGTGTTATGCAGATAAGGCCAAGGGAACATTGAACTTTGGTACAAGGTTAAGCATTGCATTGGGTTCAGCTAAGGGCATTCTTTACCTCCATACTGAAGCACAGCCTCCAGTATTCCACCGGGATATCAAGGCCTCTAACATACTCTTGGACTCTAAGCTTAATGCTAAAGTTGCTGACTTTGGACTCTCACGTCTTGCTCCTGTCCTGGATGACGAAGGGAATCTGCCTAATCATGTATCAACAGTAGTGAGGGGAACTCCAGTAAGTTTGACCCCATTTTATTTTCACTTTCTCAAAAAAATAAATATATATATATATATATGTAATAAGGGAAAGAGTATGCATGATGGCATAGTGGATGTGCCAGCCATTATTGATGTGAAAATTTGAAGTCTGTGAGGTTTTCTTATCCTGATGTTTCACTCACAAAATTTCATGGTATTCTTTAATCTCGATGCCAAGAGAAAACCGTTAAGGAATGTGAAGAAATTGCCTAAGGAATAACTAACAGATTCCAAAAACCTTTGTGGTATGCCCTGAAGATATCTTCACTGAACATTCATGTTAGCATGATTGTGGGTTGATAACTCCTAGCAACGAATGTAATTTACTGTCTCCCAATATTTAACTACGTAATTAACAAAGTTCTCATGTCTAGATGGCCCAAAAACTTTAAGTTTTGTAACTTGTTTAATACCTTTGGATTGGATAGAAATTGAATCATGCGGATGTCATTTATAAAATGGAATCCCCAGCAAATCCTTGGATGTAACTTGTTTACCATCATTAGATGCCATGAAGTATCGTTTACCTCTTTTGAATAATTCTCTTGAGTGCCTTTGTACATGCAGGGATACCTTGATCCAGAGTACTTTTTGACCCATAAATTGACAGACAAGAGTGATGTCTATAGCCTTGGGATTGTTTTTTTGGAGCTCCTGACTGGTATGCAGCCAATATCACATGGCAAAAACATTGTTCGTGAGGTACTTAAATGGGCTCATCTTTCAGAGGTCTTGAGTTCTCTTCTAATTAACATACCAGTCACAACCACATCCACCTTTTTGCATGAACTTTTCTGTTTTACCGTATTTTGATCGAATAACTTCTCATTTATGGTTTAACAACAAAGGTGAAAAAATGGGAATTGAGAAATATCGCTGCCAATCCCAATATTATGTACTTTGGTTGCAGGTAAACATGGCTCATCAGTCTGGCATTATGTTCTCTATCATAGACAACAGAATGGGTGCTTATCCATCTGAATGTGTGGAGAGATTCGTGGCTTTGGCACTCAGCTGTTGCCATGACAAGCAAGACAAGCGGCCATCAATGCAGGATGTGGTCAGGGAACTGGAAACCATACTCAAAATGATGCCAGAAGCTGATACCGTCTACTCAGAATCCACTTCTACATATTCTGGCAAATCCACTTCCTCATACTCTGGCAAGTCAGCACCGTCATCTTCATTTTACTCAAGCCGAGATCTATCCGGGAGCTCCCGTCTTCTGGGAAGTGACCTTAGAAGTGGTGTTGTTCCGACCATCACCCCTCGCTAACATCAACGGAAGCCACAATGTGCAGTTTAGTTAGGTGTAAAGAGGGTTTGATGCCCTATCTTATGCAACACAGAGACATTCCTGTATAAAGTGAAGAGAATACTTGCAGCCACTGCATGAGAGTCGACACATTTCATAGTTGATTCTTGATAGTGGTGATTGCAAAAAATAGTTCATGCTTTTTTGTTACTGAAAAAGAAATTATCCCAACCTTGTCATGATAACAAATGAATCATGCATCAAGTAAACTTCCCTTGTAAGATAATTTTTTTTAACCATCTAATTATTTGCATAATATTTGCCTATTTAATAAAGCAATCCAACGACGAAAGTCTCTAAAATAAAGAGGATTAGATGCTATTTGAAATGTTATTTTTACATAATGGTCTTATATAATTCACTTATTGAAAAAATATCAATCATAGATGTGTATTTTATGTATTAAATAAGTGAATTTTGTCAGTAGTCTCATCGATCTAATATTAATTTTTTTTGAAAAAAATATGAATGTAATAGCATATTAACTTGAAATTTTAATAGTTGATGTTTTAATCATCGAGTCCGTTTTCATTTGGTTAGATTCAATTTCATATCTTTGTTTTAATCTTATGGAAATTATAATGATAAGATACCATTACTAGTGTTAATGAAACACATTTTTTTCTATTAATCAATAAAATAAAATAATGCGATCCAATGATATTATAATAGATAGAAAATTATGATTAAGCATTCATTTTAACTTCTTTGATATATCATAAAGCAAATAATTAACTAACAAATTGTTGATTCAATAGTAAACAAGTTGGTCTCAATATAAATTTTTATTTTAATTTACGAGTTTAAATTCTAAAATCATACTTATTAGGAAGAGTTAAATCATATAGCTTCCGTTCGAACAAAATTAGTTATATTTCTAATATGAAATGAAAATATTTTTAAAAAACGTGTGAAAATTTTGAAGATAAACAATTTATTATTCCAATCATGAAATGTAAAGTACCATGGGTGGATTGATCTTGTTGTTAACGAAGTAGTTTGCTTTGTTTATAGTAATTAAGGTTAAAATGTCAAATTAGATTGTGTTAAATAAAATTTATAATGATTGTCCATTTCTAATATGAATTATTTATTTTTAGCCGAACTAAAATAAAAAATGAATGCCTAAAACCTACCTATAGAATGACATTGAATTTGAGTTCGAATTCAATCCTTATCAAAATATCATTAATTAAAAAAAAATTGCACGTATATTTTGTCTTGATGATAAAGATAAATATTAAATTCTTGATTTTTTAAGAGGATCTTAAATGCATAATTAGATTATCTATATTCATGAGGAAACATTTATTTGTGGATCCCACATTACAAGGAAATGAACATGGAAAAGGGGAACCGAATAAAAAAATAAACAAATCTATGTGATTTTATTAAATTCTGTTTTCCAACACTAATGTATTGAAGTCTATAAAGGGAACAGCCCTTTCCTTTGAGAAATTTATTTATTTATTTATTTATTTTAATGAACCTAAAGGGAATGGGAACAACCTTATAATAAGAAAAGAATATATAATTCATGAAATGACAAAACAAAGAATGGAATTAGGACAAAAAATGGGTTTCATCTAAAGCCAAACGGCGTGTGGTGATGTCATAAACACATTTGTTACCACTGACTTATGTTTATGTTTTATGTTAATGTTTCGCTGGTTTTGATGAGAAAACGACGTGCTCTCTCATTATTTTCATAAATTATTTTTCCATTATAAATTATGAATTCGATTCTTTCTTCTCTAGCAGTCTAAACTTGTACCCTTCTACAGTTCTATTTTCTGTCTCTGTCTCTGTATCAAGAATTCAATCACACTTGCTTCACCCATTTCTTTGAACTGAGCCCGCTTTTCAACAATTGGGGTAAGTTTCTTATCTTCATTGTGCATTTAGGGGTTCTTTATTTGATTGAAGAAGTTTAGGGTTTTTGTTTTTTTTTTTTTAGGTTGAACACTTTGCAATTCTCAATCAAATCCCAATTGGGAATTTTGTATGTAATTCGAAAATTTTCATCTTTTTGGCCTGTGACACCACAGAAACCAAATGGGTTCTTGGGGATTTTGAAAAGTTTTTGACTTTACGTTGATAGATTTGTTGACTTGAGAGGATCGAGAGGGCGCACATTTCGACATCTATAATTTCGTTTGTTTTACCAAGTTTAAATTCTTTAGGGTCTTAATTGTGATCATGAACCTGTCATAGTGCGTACTTTTGATGCTTTGAAATGATTTTCTGTTGAGAGGGTTTAGGAGGCCACCTTAATTGTTTTCTGTTTTTTTTTTTCCTTTATCTGAATTTCTGGTGTTATTTGTATCAGTAAATATTTTGTGGTTCATATCATGTCATTCACTTATAAATTTCTTTTCAACTTTGGGCAGCATCAAGCACAGTTACTGGCACGACTCGGACAGCATTGCTGTGTCTACGTGATTGCTTAGGTCAATCTGGAAGCTTGACGGATAGTATTCAGAATTCTCCGGAATGGAATTTTTGTAGTATAATTGCCAAATTGGTATAGGAGTTAGTTGTACAGGTTGAGGAAGTGAATTTTTTAAGGGTTGCTTGCAAAGAACCATGAGGTTCACCGTAAAACAAGCCCTCCTATTTTGTCTGCTCCCTATAGTGTTCTTTGCATGCATTTCGGCAGAATCTGAAACTGATCATTCTGAAAGGTTAAGATCGGCTCCTCATAAAAATGTGAGGAACAATGTTATAGATGGCAGTGGTACAGAGAATGCAGTTGATTTTGAGGGTACAATTGGTGGCATGGAGGCCAGGAAGCGTGGTTATAACAGAGTTTCAATATCTACAGTTGCTTTATTTACATTGGCCATGGCTGCTGCCACTGGTTTAGGTGCTGTCCCATTCTTTTTTGTGGAGCTAGATCCTCAGTGGGAAGGGTTGTGCGGTGGGATGGCTGCTGGTGTGATGTTGGCTGCTAGCTTTGACCTCATACAGGAAGGGCAAAGCCATGGTGCTGGCAGTTGGGTTGTGATTGGGATTTTATGTGGTGGAATTTTCATTTTGCTGTGTAAGAAGGTAATGTCTCTACATGTTCACATTTAATATGAAGTTTTCTTCTTTTTCCTACTAAAACTGATTTGTGCTTCTGGGCTTTTAGCTCTTACTTTACTATGGGTTGGGATACATATGTTCCTTTTTCCAATGTTTCATAAAAGGGGTATACGTTTGGTTCTTTTTCCTTTTTGTGTTGTGATGACAACATACATTTGATAGGCGTATGATAAGATTCCTATTCCTTTCTCTTTTATGTCAATTTATTTGGGACTTTGACATGGTGTCAGGCTAGGGAACCCAAGAGAGTTTATACTTTATACATCCATTTGTTGAAAAATTAGCAAACAATTTTGTTCTTATATATTTGTTGATTTTATGCTGTGTCTTTGATTTATATGTTTGTTTGGATTCTCATGTGTGCATATATATATTTTCCATGTGTGTGTTCGCACATGTTCTTTGTTGTTGATATCTCATTACACTTTACATGATTTCTTGTTTCAGTTTCTTGAACAATATGGGGAAGTAAGTATGTTGGACATTAAAGGTGCTGATGCAACTAAAGTTGTTCTTGTTATTGGAATTATGACTCTTCATTCCTTTGGGGAGGGTTCTGGTGTTGGTGTGTCATTTGCTGGCTCAAAAGGCTTTTCTCAAGGACTTTTGGTAACTTTGGCCATAGCCGTGCACAACATTCCAGAGGGGTTAGCTGTGAGCATGATGCTTGCATCAAAGGGTGTTTCTCCGCAAAATGCAATGTTGTGGAGCATAATTACATCCTTGCCTCAGGTAATACATTATACATCACGAAGTACATGTGTATAACTTACCTCAAGAGAGCTAATGTGTGTTGAGATCACTTTGCGAGACTTATGAAATCAGTACAATGAAACAAACAAGAAAAATGCAAATCATGGAAGCAACATTTTTATAAGTGCCATGCATTTGTCATTTCGATAAGGGTTGGAGAACTTATCTGTTTCAGCAAACTTATATTCTGTTCAAATCTTAGAAGGTTCCTGGTTGAGGAAAAAGAAATTGAGATCTCTTCAGGGTTTATTTAACTCTTGATGATGGAAGACTTGAGATCTTGATACCCAGCCAAGTTTATATTCAGATCCAGCAAATGGGAAACTAACAAGAAGAATTTGGTGTCTCCACAAAAATTTCTCTCTGAACTAACAAAACATATGCAAAAAATGAGTGGTTATGGGGTTAACAATATTGTATGTATGAATTTTGTCAACGTTCTTGATTGTTGATCATTTACTTGATTACAGCCTATTGTAGCTGTTCCTGCATTCATGTGTGCTGGTGCATTTAGCAAGTTCCTTCCTTTCTGCACGGGCTTTGCTGCTGGATGTATGATCTGGATGGTTGTGGCTGAGGTGCTTCCCGATGCTTTCAAGGTAATTTGCTGTCTCTCTGGATATATGACTGCCTGGTTCAACCCATTTTGAATTAGACTAGGCAAGCTTTGGGCTTCCAGTAATCTTTTTCCTTGGAACATATCTACCATTTCTATTTCTACTTTTTAGATGGAATTGGAACTTTTGGACCATTTATAAACTAAAATAGTAAGATTGCTCTTTATTCATTCTATTTTACAAATAACCCACATCCTTTCCCCTCAAAGAGAGAGATAGGGAACCTTGAATCTTAAATGCCAAAAAGGTTTAAAAAATTTTAAACTGAATTTTGTCTTGCCATTTTTATGTCTTTACTTTTGGTTTATTGTAGAGCATGTTAAATTCTTCTGGATGTGTTTTTTTAATTGCAGGAAGCCTCTCCTCCTCAAGTAGCATCAGCAGCTACAATTTCTGTAGCATTTATGGAAGCTCTCAGCACTGTGTTTGAGAATTTCAGCCATGATTACAAGTGAGTTGCTATGCGCTTTACTTTTCTGAGAATGCATGGCCAAAATTAGTGAAGTTGCATTGTGTTTAAGTTCCCTGTTTTGTCACGTGTTACATGTCACCTTGACATGCGCATACCGATATTAGATTACAGTCATGGCATCTCATAATTGTTACCTCCTATTGATGCCTATAATATCTTACTGTCCTGATTGATGTGTATGATGCCTGCTTTGGTTCAATTTATCTTATATTGCAGTTCAGGACATAGTAATGACATACAGCTTCAGTACCTCAATGTTAATTAGGAAAATCATCTCTCCCCTGGGAATTATAATGTAATTGAATTCAAAATGATCCAAATAACTGCTTTGGCCACCTATAATAATCAAACCCCACCATGTCATCGTGATTGCATGGGCATTTTGGTCATCTGAAATCTTTTGATCCAAGCATGCTCTAAAATCATTTGTTGTACATATAATCTCTTTCTAGGCTTAGGTTTGTCAGCACCTCTAGTCATGAGATGCAGTTTTGCATTTAGTTATTGTAACATAGCCTTGATCTGCATGATTGAAGTCTTTTTTTTTTTTTTTTTTTTTTGACCAAAAATGGTTCGTCCGATAAATAGAAAGTATATTCCCTCCCCTCCATCAAAGAGATACTTTCTTGTGAAGAAATTTGTTGGATTATGAGATGCTGATCCCAAATGCAACCTTGCCATTGTGGTTTCTATGCTGATTTTGCTCATTTTGTAGTCTCGTTTTGCTGATCCTGCATTTACTTGTATTATTCATTTCATTTCTGTATATTGCAGTTCAGAGGATGCTTCAGGCTTCTTCGTTTCATTGCTTTTTGGTCTTGGGCCATTGCTTGGTGGCTTCATTCTTGTTGCATTTGCTATTGCATTTTATCTTCAGCATGCCCTTCTCATGGGTGCAGCATCTGGCATTGCTTTTGTCCTTGCCGCTTGGCGACCTCTGCAGTTACTTGTGTCCTCAAAGATGGGGTTCTTCCCCCTCGTATTTTTATTTGCACTGGGAGCAGCCTTTGTCCATGTTTCAAGCTCCAGCATTTTGAAACTTTCAGGTCGCAAAAAGGCATCAGCGAATAGTTTACCAACAGTAACTGGCTTTCCTATGAGTGTTCACACCCTTCAGTCATTCTTGTCATGTGGAGCGGTTGCCTTTCATGCATTGGCTGAAGGGCTTGCTTTAGGAGTGGCTGCACCGAAGGCTTATGGACTTGGTCGGCACATGGTCCTTCCTGTATCTCTACATGGACTCCCTCGGGGTGCAGCGGTTGCTAGTTGCATCTTCGGGGCTACTGACAGCTGGCATAGTGCCCTAGCAGCAGCAACTTTAATTGGATTTGTGGGTCCAATATCTGCTATAGGAGCGATACTTGCAGGAATTGACTACAGTGGTCTGGATCATGTGATGGTCTTTGCATGTGGTGGATTGCTCCCTAGCTTCGGAAACATAATTAGAAGAGGACTTAGTTTGGATACACGGAAAGGGGGTTTTGGGTTGGCAATTGGTGTGTGGTTTGCTAGTCTATGTTTGATGTGCACTAAGTTGGTTTGCTTGCACACTCCTTACTGCAATTCTGCTCCAGAGGCTGTCAGATGATATGATCTCCTGTGAGATTCAGTTACCAAGTTGGTATGTCAGCACCTGTGATAGACACAAGCATGCATAGATAAGTTGTAGAGTAGATTATTTGGAAAAGAGGAAAGGTTTGTTGGAGGATATATTCTTATCACACCGTACAATAATTTTCTTCGTTTTTCTATTTGAATTTTCCTCGGAGAGGAGAGGAATATCTGTGGAATTTGCTGACTGCAGTGGTCTGATTCAGAGTTTGAGAGACCATTCTTTTCTTACATACAGAAGTCTCTAGAAGAAAGCTTCTATGGATCGATGCATGCAACTATTGGAGAGAAACGACTACTCCAGTTTGAATCTTGCCTTCGCCATTTCCACTAACAATCAAGAGGACTTAATGCTAAATATTATCAGAACCACAAATCAAAACTCATTGGCATGATTGTATTAATCTGATTAGACGTATAAATCGATGGATGGAACTTTGTAGCACAGTTGTCTGAAAATGGTTGAGTTGACGGCTGTAGTCTAGCTACTTGAAAATTGAAATGGCTTCTAGGCAGAGCATTTGTAGATAGCTTCTAGGGTGGATTTGTTGTCTGGTCAAAATTTCTCAATTTCACTCACCAACACCACCATCAAAGGTCCACAACCTCTTGCCTCACCAACCCACCAACTCGGCAAATGCTAAAATATCTCGGACAGATTAGGCAAAAACGAATATCATCCAGGTTAGTTCACTCCATCAAATATGTTCTCCTTGCTTTGTTAAAAGGCTTAAAGCAACTTCCTTTGCCTGATGGTGAAAACACAGATCATGCACACAAATATGACAAAGATGAATCTCTTATTTCAACAGAACAAAAAAACAAAAAACAAAACAAAATATTCGACAACATATATGATTCAATAACTCTCAGCCGCTATAGTTGTGAAGTGATAATTTGATATTTAAGCCGAAAATCCTGACAAACGACATATTTCGAAGGGGGATACAAGCTGCAGCTGGTTCACATTCAGTTTGGCCCGCATCCGCATCAACGGATAAAATCCCCCAAATTACCTAACATCTAAGATTTCCACTAACCCTAGACAGACTCCACTGCAAATCTTATTGATATAAACAATGTGGACTGAGGACAGCAAAAGTAAGCATTCCCAAGGCAAAAGTAAACCACGAAAGTAGAAAAAGTTTATCACTTGAAAGTCGACTGATTGCTCTGCAAATCCTCTCCTCCATCAAGCAGTTTCTCCTTCTCTGGAGCAGCCAATCCAACATCAACAGCAACTGGTTTTGGTTCTTCAACACTCTGAGACCCCGTCATCCTCGCCAACGCCACAAACGACACTCCACCAAGAACATTATTCAAGCACCTAAGAACCACAACCGATGTCTTAAATGCCAACGGAGAAAGTCCTTTCTCCAACAAAAACTCGGCCCCATTCAGCGTCTGGTACCTCAAATTACTACTAAAACCCATATGAGCCGCCCACGTCAATGCGTTCAAAACAGTCGGAGGTGCCTTATTCGGCGTCTCAAAAGTAGGATCCATCTTCTTCCTCATCTTAATCAACCCATTAGAAAGCGCAGTCCCTACCAAACCCGCAGCAAAACCAACAGCAGCAAAAATAGTTCCTTTATAAACTAAAGTACCAAGCCTATTCATCACACTATAAGCACCAGGCTCAAACATATGACTGGTTGGACAATTAGCAAAAATCGCAGGCAATGTCTGACTAGCAGAAGCCGCAGTAGGCGCGAGCAGATACATCAAAGTAAAATTCAGTATAGAACCAACAACCAAAGTCGAAAAAACAAAATCCAATTCATTAAGACCAAAATTCGGCCGCGAAGCCATGTCACCAAGAAGACAAGCAGACACACCAACCAACTCCTCCATTAATACCTTAAAGGGGAACTGCGGATCCGCCGCGACCCGCGATCTCCACCCATTTAGAAAGAGACCCAGAATCCCAAACCCCGCAGCGGACGACGATGAATTGTCAGAACTCGAATCACCAGCACCACCACCACCACTCGAGTTTCCACCATCTCCACCGCTGCCACCAAATCCTCCGCCGGTTCCATTGCCTCCAGCATTGGAAGGGTGGGGTGGTTTGGAGTGGAGGAGGCGGAGAGAGGGGTTAAGAGGGGTGGAAAAGGGGAAAGAGAGAGAATGAGAATTGGAGTTTGGGAATCTGCGGTTGTTTTGTTGGGCGCAATTAGCAGTGTATTGCCTAGCAAATGTAGAGAATCGGAGCTGGGCTGCTTCCGCCATTTCTTGATTCTGAATCAAAACTAAAAAAATAAATAAAAGATCAAAAGAGGATGAAGACAATAACTTACAGATCTGGAGCGACTGATTTAAAAATTAAAAAATAAAATAAAATTATACCCGGGACTGGAAGACAGGCGACGAGGTTAGCTGATCAAATCAGAGAACGTTTAATTTACTTATCAGAAAAATTAAGAACAACAAAGTGACAGATGGCCTAGGCGTAGCCGTGGGCGTGGCGTAAGGGAAGAATGCCACAGCCGGAGAGAGAACGGGGTTGTTGTAGTTGTTGCTGCTGCCTATTGGAGTAGAGAGACTTAAAGAGACAGAAGTTGGGGTTTTATATTTATTTATTTTATATTCTATGACGTGATGATGCGAAATTGGAACCCTAAAACCCTAGGAGGACTTGGAGTTGTAAGGAGACCGTGCCTGTCCAAATGCTTTCTTTCTTTGGACTGTAGAATTTTGGATTTTGCTTTCGTTTTGAGACGAGGATATATTAAGTGTATGAACTTTGTTGTTTTTAAGATTTGGTGCTTCAACTCTAATTTTTATCAATTGAATTATTGATCTATTAATAACGACACAATCAAGTGTGTTAATGGATGTTTATGTTAAATAATGACACAAATACTAAAATCTTACTTAAAAATTAGAAATTATGTTCATGGATTAAGCCAAAAAAAAAAAATCTATAATTCAAATTTCATACTCACAATATGTTTCAAATTTTTTACATAAACAGCTAATTTTTAAATTTTTTGGTAAGGTTTTGATGTTCATGTCAATATTTGGAAGACGTTTGATTGGATTGTTATTAATAGATGAGCAATTTTATTAGTAGAATTAAAGTTGAAAGGGGCAATTGTGAAGTTAAAAAAAGTTCAAACACCCAACCTATCGTTCTCTCTTTTGTTTTTGATAAAATTTTAATAAGGGTCAGTGGGAAGTCGTGACTGATGGCCCACCCAGCCACCGCCCTCACAATATTAGCCTCTCATTTCATGACGCGTGTCGGAACCTAGGATGCCACGTGTATCTGTCGCATTTTACGCTACTTGTTTATATTTGTTATAGAAACAAAAGACGCAGGGTTTAACGTCCGACCTTAGCTCAGTTGGCAGAGCGGAGGACTGTAGTGGTTGCTGTAATCCTTAGGTCGCTGGTTCGAATCCGGCAGGTCGGAATTACTTTTTCAATTTTTATAATTTAACGGCTTCAAACCTAGTTCAATCTACAATCATTTTTAATTTTAAATAGTTAACGGCTTCAATGGCTTCTGACCTAGTTCGAGCCACAATATTAATCTAGTCTAGTTCAAGATACAGTCCTAACTCAGTTTAATGGTACAACTTATCTCAGACTGTTGGAATTATCATAAAATAACTGAAATGATTTAGAATTTAGGGCTACGTTGACCTCAAACTATTAATGGTATAACTTGCTTCAAACTGTTGGGACTATGACAAAATAACTAAGTAACTAAATAACTAAAATGCTTTAGAATTTAGGGTTACTTCGACTTTGAGAAAAAAATAAAATAAATTTTAATTTTAAAAATCTTGTTTTAGATATTTCATTTAACAATTAACATTTTGATTATTATTATAATAAAAAACTGTTTGAAAAATAATAATTTGAAATCCAAATACTTTAAATTAATAATATAATTCGGATTTTGTCACATCCATGTTAATTTGGAGATAAATTCTGTCATAAAAAAAGGTCCTCACTCCTACGGTACATTCACCAAACGTTCTCTCTTTCCTTTGTTTTAAACAAATTATTTCTGAAAATGTTTTAGGAAATCAAAAGCTGAAAAACCTACCATGCAATCTAGGGCTTCTCCCCTGGGCACAAGGTTAATATGTCAGGTTGAGCCTGCATTCCTGCCTAAAAACCTGGTCCACGTTTGGCACCTAACCTGAGTATGCATGAACTTACTAGTTTCTAGCCATGTTAGGCAGAACCAATCCTAACAGCAACCTGAAAAAATGTCAACTTAGGTGATGTTTAGTATTAGAATATTTGGTTTTACTGTTGTCTTTATATTTTTTATGTGAACAATTCTAAAAAATAATAAAAAATTATTTTCAATTTTTAGTTCGATTTTCCTATTTATAAAACATTATTACTAACATATCATTGCAATGGCTACTAATTTTATTCGACTATTATCATCATAGTGACAACTACTGTTATGGTTAACACAATCATTATTTTTATTTAACTTCTTCACCATCACCATCATAATTAACAAAATTATCACTTTCATTTTACTTTTTCACCACCATCACACCTTTTAACATTACCATTATTGTAATTAACTCCACCAATACTATCGTTATTATCTCCATAATATTCACAAACATATTACTTTGCTATATATTATTCAAACCACCCATATTATATCCTTATCGATCACTCGCTACAACTATTATTATTTATCAATAAAATAATAATAATATTATATGTATCATCCGTAACACCTCCAACCTAGGACTTAATAAGTTGAGAATATTATCGCCGTTAGTCACATTCAAAGTGCAATGAATGTAAGCTAACAAGGCACTATGATCTCATTGTAACGTATGTAAGAATATTTACGTGGTAAAAATCTTTTAATGACGTTCAAGTCCTATTTATTACTTCAACTTCGCTATAAATTTTTCATGTTTATGTAGCGTTTATTTATCATGATATTTTATTTTAATTTATTTCATTTGACATGTTTGCTAAACTTCTACTCATGTCAATATGCGAGTGGATAATTTAAAATAATTATAATACTATTACGATATTATTATTTATTATTACCGATTCGATTACACACCTTAACTACTTACATACATGATTGATTCTATGTCAACTACTCGTGTAGTGGGTCTACCCGAAGCCAAACCCTCATCCAAGTTACATGCGTCTAATGCCTCCCTCGATAGTCATCTTTGTAGAGAAGTAAGCCGTAGTATCTTATTTATCTACGCCACAAGAAACCGTATAAGCTACGACCCGGTAAGTTAACATATGCATGTAGTGTACGTATATGTGTATGTATGCATAAGACACCGATATGCATAATGAATCATTTTTCCTTATGTCATAAAACATTTCATAAACGAGTCTAAAATCCCTTTTCTGTCTTTGGACATATCCCATTTAAGTACTTCGTGGTTTTCATCACATATGTCCGGCGAACCGGACCCATCCATGGACACGTCCTACCGAGCCTCTAAAAGTGCACGTCCGCACTTGCCCGCCCCGAACCATTACCATCACCGTATGAAAAACCAATGAAGTCCTTTCCTCAAAACCTCAAAGTCATGGAAATCTTTTCCTTTGAAATCATTCTGATTGCTATCGGATAACCATGACATAAAATATATTTCCATGACTTAAAACATTATTTATGAGCTAAGCATGCGTATACAATTTGCAATGAACCAGCAAGTTGTATGAATTCATGAATGCTTACTTAGAATGGTTATGTAACCAAGTCATAAGAATCGATATAAAATTGGACAAGCATAACAAGATAGATAACATTAACCCAATATAAACCAACATCGTCATCATTGGCACATCAATCATCATAACTCAATTCTCATCATCAATCACATTCAAGCATAACATTATTCATAATCTAATGCATTCATGTAGCATTTAAAAGAACATAACCATAACATAAAAGAAGATTAACATTTTTGTTCTATTTCTTTGTTCATTAAATTTACCTTTCACTTTACTTTCCTATATTCTTTTCCTTAGGTTCTTAATCATCTTTTCATATTTGGTCTTTATCAAATTAATTATGATTTCATGTTCCAACCTAACTAGGTATTAGTTCATTGATTTAGGAGGTTCAATTTCGATTTGGGCCTTAATGGGCCTAAGGTCTAATTTTTCCTAAATCAATTTTTCTTTAGATTTTCGTGAACACTTTTATTCTAAACCATCATTTTACATTATCTTGAGCATGAATGAACTAATTTAGGGTATGGAACTTAAAGAGTGACTTTTAAGTGATCGATGAATTACACGGGCAGAGACACGCCCGTGTGAGAGGCCGTGTAACTCTCCGACTTCAAGAAAACATATTTCTTCATTACACATTTTCTTCAATTTTTAATAAATTTTTCATTTCTAATCATCAAAACATGTTTATTCAAGTGTAAATGATTTATCAAACCGGAGTCAATTTGCTTTAAACTCAATCCCTAATTTGCTTAGTTTAGGCCAAATATAATTTCTAACAATTAGTGGATTTTTCTTCAATTAAGGTGTAATTTTTCATTCCTAAACATTAATTCATACTCAAATAAGTCAGAATCAAGTGCCAAAACACCAATTAAATGAAAGAATTCAAAACCCCCAAATTTGGTTCATTAAGAACCCTAACCCTAATTTTTATCAATTGAGCAATTAAATCAAATCAAGAAATTAAACATGAAATTGACTTGAAATTATGCATGTTTGTGGTGTAGTTGAGGTTAACATACTTGTTTGAGCTCCAATTAGACTCTAAAAAAGTAGATTGGTGAAGGATTTCTCTTCCTCCTCTTTTCTCCTAAATTTTTGAATTTGATCTTCAAATTTTTTTTCTTGGGATTTTTGGCTTCTCACTTAAAATTAAAGCTTCTTCCACTGATTAGAGATTGATAGAATTTATTAAAAATGTTTTGGGTGATTTTTAAGTGAAAATTTTGTAAGAGTTTCCTTTGTGTTTTTTTAATTTTTCCTCCCTTTTTATTTTTCCAGCACTCCTATTTATATGAAATTTTGTGGAATCATTGACTCCATCTCCACCCTTAATGTGGGAAAATCTCATCCCTTAATTCAATTTCTAATCATTCATTTGCATTTGTCCTAATTTTTAGCCATTTATTCACCTTTTTATTTAAACCTTTCGCCTTGCTTATTTTTGGCCATAATTTTAGTTGGAAGTCATACTTAATTAATTCTCTAGTTCGGACAAATTTGGGAGGAAAATGAAAAATTTTGGTCCTTCAAGTTTCTAGACTTTTACATAGCCCATTCTTTCCTAAGTCCTTCTTTTATGCAAAAACTCACTTCTAATCCTTCCTTTTTAGTTTTAATCACTTCTAATCCTTCCTTTTTAGTTTTAATCGCTTAACATTCTCACATAATTTAATTTGGATTATTAGAATTTTAATTTTATGCAATCAAGTCCCTAATTTTATGCAGTTTAGTCCCTACTTTTAAGATCCCATTCTATACTTTTCAAAAATCAAATTTCTTTGTAGAATAAATTCAAAGATTCATTAAGGGAGTTTGATTTAAATTTTCAAAAATTTTGGCCCTAATTTGAGCCTTCAATTTATTTATTCAAGTGTGAAAATTATACTATTTCCTATAAACAATATTGCCTATACTTACTAAAATTAATTTACATTTTTTAGGCACTCTCACACATCCTATATGATTATTCTATGCTCTTAAAAAATTTCTCATACTCGTAAGGTGTCTAATGAAATTCTTTACCTCTAAAAACACTATTCATGTACTTAGAAAATTCAATGAAATATTCACCATATGTAGAAAAATTCATAAAATCATATAAAATAATCTAACACCCTTCTAACAATTATTCTAAATATAAAGATATTTTTCATACGCAAACAACATGCTTTAATTAATTTTCTCATGCAATAACTACTATTCATATATCAAAAAATCACTAAAATATTCTTTAAGCATAGAAAACTATCTCAACCCTTCTAAATATTCTTTTAAGTTTCTAATAATTATTTCCCATTCTCAAAAATATTTATTTATTTATTTTCACACGATTTTAATATTAAATTTTTATTACATATCTATTTTAACGAGTACCGGGCATTACATCATCACAATGTAATCATCACCGTCACTAATATCATACATGTTATTACCACAAAGCCATCATTTAATCATCATAATTAAATTGTATAAGACTATTACTTTTAAATTAAGTCAAGTATCATAAATTTCATAATAATTATTATTTTTATTTTTATTTTAAATTTTTTGTTACCATAATGCCACCATTTAATCATGCCAATTTTCAGAAAAAGAAAAAAGAAAAAAAGCAAATTTTTGTTAATTGTTTTATAAAAACAGAAAACCAAAATCATGAAATGGGACCAACTGCTAAACTGTTAATATCGCTCTAGAAAATGACAAGTGGCTATAAGAGCTAAACTTGTGAGGTAGAGTATCACGAGCTTTCCCACTTACCGAATCTAACGCAATGTGAATCGAAACGGATCATAAACAACAGAAGGTTGGATGTGGATTCATCAAAACAAAAAAAACAAGAAGAAAAGCTTGGACGTTAGAATCTGGTTAGAATACTCCAACACCCATTATAGACCCAACCGAAGGATCACCTCCCATCCCATGTATTACAAGACAAAATCCTACCATATAGTACTATTACACGATACAGTTATAGTCTGCCTGGCAAACAAGGAGAATCTCGTCTAGATTTGATGCTTAACATCTATTTAACCACAGGATCAGAGCTGGCACATGGAAGTTCATGTACACGAGAACACAACATAAGACAAGTTTTTGTCTCTTGTCATCATCAATCATGTTTTCTTATAAGTGAAACTAACATGTCCTCTCTTTTTTTTTCAGCTAGATGGGAAAAACTTATAGATTCATATTCCTGCTTCATTTCTCAGGGTTAATTAAAATTTAGTTCATGTGTTTTTTATGATCTTCTAAGTTAGTCCTTCTGCTTTTGAAAATCACAAGTCAGTCTATTAATTAAGGATGTTCGTTATTTCTTTTTGAAATTACTAAATTATCCTTTCTTTTTTTATTTTTTAATCTGCAGTAAGCTAAATAGTAAAACTAAATTACAAACAAATATGAAAATAAAAAGATTGGCTATTGAGTTTTTCGAACCGAAAGGATTAAACACAGGAAGGATCAAATATTAATTCACTTCTCTATTTGGATTTGAGGACGCTAGTTTTCCAAATTTTTCATTTTATCAAGAGCATACCAACTGGGAATTTCTTCTTATATCCAACCGATGAAAGTAACATAAACCAACGAGTTCTAAGATTTATCTCCCAAGGAGAGACCAAGATATTCCACACTTATAGGTAAGTGTAGAGTGGTCAACCTGCTTCCTTTCCTTTATTTTCAGTCATTGCATGTCAATTCACCATGAATTAACGATGTCCAGAAAAAGAATCGGTCAAACCCAACATCCGTTTTGGATATCACACAAATCTACCTTGAGTCTTGAGTTATTATTTGAAGTAATTGGAAATATAATATACCCTATGGTTGGACCATATGGCATGAACTTTGCTAACTTTGCTCCGCATCATTCCAAATATAGTGGAGGATCTGACAAAAATATATATATAAAAAATAGGGACCATATAGACTCAAAAGTCAATATTTTATCACACTAATAAAAAATGAAACCTACAAAACTCGGATTCAATGTCTTAAAGGACCTAACACTTACAACATCGATATATATTCCACACTCCTCAAGGTTCCTAACACAAGAATAAATGCAATGAATATATTAAGTTTACACCAAAAAAAAAAAAAAAAAAAAAAACCACTGACCTTAACAAGCCTAACTCATGAACCGACTACATAATTCTTTTTTTTTTTCTTTTTTTCATTTAATGTTATCCAATTTTGTCCTTTTTGTCTTGGGAGAAAGAAGAAGCAAAAAATAAAAGAACCCCCCACCAGAACGCTCACCAGCAAAGACTGTTAGCCTAATATCTTCGTAAGACACTGCTGAATTGAGATGTATTGGATGGCATGTTCTGGGCATGAGCTTCTGATATAAAACCAATACAGACAGGGGTACACATTGAGCTCTCATCAGCGTCCTGTTTTCGCACGTTTCATTCCACTTGTATTGAAAGGAGAGACGCTGCCACTTGGCCCTGGAGACTCTTCTCTGAAATTTGAATTTAGCATCGCTAGTTCACGCAACTGCTGCCTCTTGATAAAGTCTTGTGACTCATCCTGCAAAGAAAAGGTATATTTTACAGAAAGAAGGGGAAAGAAAAGGCTTTTCAAATTTAAGTCCACTAATGGGGACAGGGAGAATGAAATGCATAAGCGGAATTAAAGAAGGGGGAAAGCCTATCACTACTACTTGAGCAAGAGGAACTAAAAAGAGATATCGTAAGCCAGAATGCCATTGGTTGACGCTCATTTTTCACTTATTTCCAGCCTGATATCTGAAAGGTGTGAAGGGAAACAACTTCTAGAAATGATAGATTATAATGGTAAGTGAAAAATCGTGACACAATGACTGCTTGTTTCCGGTTTCACAAAAAGTAGACGGTTTCAAAAACAGAAGAGGGTGAAATCTTCAACGAAAAGCTTTGTATTTCAACCTTAAAGAAAGATCCTCTACACTTTTAAACAGAAAATGCTAGAACCTGGTTCCTCCAGATTCAAGAGCAAAAATATTAATTCAGTTTACAAACCTAAAATATGAACTGAAAACCTATATTAACGCGAAATAGAGAACTCCCAAGTTATTTGCCTTCAAAGTTGTTCCCAGGCAGACTGACACCTTGGACTTGGAAAGACTACCAGAGGGGAAGGGCAGGCTTTCATTCTTAGATTTGCAGCAAAACCACTAAATTGTAGCACGAAGCATACAAAAGATCGCCAGTACACTATAGTGACAAAATTTTTAAAATTTCATAAAACTTGTAAACAGAAGTGCGAAGAATGGAGACAGGTACCACAGGTTTGAGCAGTTCTTCTATAATTTCTTGTGCCTGCCGGAGTCTCATGTCAACAATGTTGGCAGGTAAGTCAGCCTCAATTAAGATGTGAAGTGGATCGTTCAAGTGCTCATAGCCTGGTCTTCCCCTTAGCTTCTCTTCCTTTAGGATCGAATAAGAAGAAAATAATTAAGAACAAACTTAAATTGTATCATCATTAAAAAAAAAGAAAAAAAGAAAAAAAAGCAGATTTCAATAACGCTAAAATGAGGAGAGTGTGTAGGTGTACAGTACCTTGTCTGGATCCTTGATTGATCCTTTTCCTCTAATGTACACCCGGCAACCTGTGGTAGCTTCCACCCGTTTCAGTGAATTGCCTCTAGGGCCCAGAAGTCGCCCAACAAAATTGAACTAACATAAAGAAGCAGCCAGCAAATATTACTACTTAGATGATTCTATTTCATTAAAGGGAATTGTGAAGATATGCTCAACCACTAAAATTTACAGTATAAAACCAGAAATAGGTGCAACTTACAGTACATACATTTGGATAGGTATCTACTGGAATTTCCAAACGCAAAATTCTCTTCACAGTGTATGAACTAGGGCTTGCAGGTGCACCTTGCCAGTCCATAGTCATTCCAGGAGGTCCACTTAATCTCTGCAGGAAAGTTTTACCTATATTAGTGTAACACAGAAGTGGAAGCACAAAGGATTGACATCCAAAATTTACAGAAAAATATATATAGAACTAGACATCATATATAAGGTCTTCAATCTAAAGCTTCTCATTTTACCAAGTCATCATGTCCATAGTAAACTGATAACACTAGTTATCATACCACCAACTATAAGAAACAGAAGCAAATATATATCTGTGTGTGTGTGTGTGTGTGTGGAAAAGAAATGAGAGCAGTTCAGTTATTAACACACCATGTTAAAAACACTTATCTTCAACCTATTACAGGAGATTACATAATCAAATGGTCAGGTAAACCTCTTACCAAAATTATGCTAGACCTATTGACTATCCTCACTTTTTTTAATTATACTATAAACTTAGGAAAGTCGAAATTTAAAGAAGGAATCCTCATTCAGATCAAGAGTATTGAGATAAAAGCTAATTTGTGAAAACAGATGTAAAAAGGAGAAGAGTGTTAACGTATAAGGATCACAGTTTAAACTGTCATTCAACAGAACATTTGACATTTTAAGCATGCTGGATTTTCCTCAATCAAATATCCGCGTTTTGCATAGGCAGTGCAATCTTTTGATTACAATAGCATCACAGCTGGGAGTGCCTTTTGTCTTAATTTGAACAGTTTAATCAGATAACTGCTTTCACAAGGGAATTTGACTTTAGTAGTATGACAGCTAGGATCAGCTGTCATTTATCTAAAATTGAGATGAATTCTCAACTGCTTTCACAATGGAATCCATCATCTTCTACATTTCTCCCAACATTAAAAGTGAACTGAGTGGGACCAACAACTGCTGTCATTCAGATCATCAACTTGTTGAAGAAAAATTTACAGATGGAGATTGCAAGTGCTAGTCAACTTGGTGCAATGTGAAAATATATTGGCCCTGGTCTTTTCATTAAGAAGAATCATGGTGTCCATAAGCTGCTTAGCATTTTAAGTATGCATAAACCCAGAATATATAGTATCAAAGTCTATGTAAGATGGTGTCTCTTTAGGCTTGACATGGTACAAACTATGAGCTGGATCCACCTTCTGATGTGAAAAGCTTGAATCTAAATTCAACCTCACACTGTTTCGCAAGCCAATTTTGAATGCATGGCAAAATACTAACAATGTAATTGGCATAATACCTGAAGGAATTGTCCACTTTGGGGAACTTAAAACCAGCAAGGATTTAGTATAGTCTACCATAAAGTACAAACAAGTATCTTAGGTTCTCCAGGTAAAGGTTATCGAACTAAGAGCTTTGCTAAAGGAGAAGTTTCGTTAGCTTATGGGTAAGAGCATCAATAATAACAAATTAAGACATTAAAACATCCAGCAAGTGCATGTCTCTCTGTTATTGATTTCTCAAGAAAAACAGTTAGCAAATTAGTTAATGCTCTAGGATTACCTCTTATTGGTAGCATTTCAAATGCTCAAAACAGTACCAGCAAAAGGCCATAGCAAAATACACATGGAAAAAGGAAAACTCAAAAACCAGCAAGAAAGCCTCTTTATAGTCTTCATTTCTTAAGAAGAAAAATGCAGACTATGAAATTAAATCAATACTAATTTAGGAAAAATACTGCTTGTTGGCATTCAACCATCTTGCAATGCTATTAAAATGCAGAAATCGTTTCTCATGAAAAGTTGGAGTAAAACATCAGTTAGAGAACTAAAATTCAAACCTTTTCACTAGTAACCTCATCTACACAAAATTTCAAACTACAGGCACGCATGACACTCATATAACAAGTTAACAGGTGGAATCCAGATAGAGAACTATGACCAGAAAGGATTATAGGGATAAGAAAAAAAAATGTAATGCAAATTTAAAATCAAAAGAAGCAATTACCTCCTGAGGAAGGCCATTCCAGCCACCTAAACTTGTCCCGCCAACATTGGAGATGAGGTTTGAAGAAGCCATGGGGCTGGGGCTTCTATGTCGTAGTCTGTCAAAGTCTCCAAAGCCTTGGTTGGACATCATTCCTGATACCCGGAAAATTTCTACACATAAAATAGCATTTTGCTTGAGAGATAGACTCAGAGTGATGTTATATGAAACAGCACTGAATGAAGAATTGATGCCCAAAGAAAAACAAAAAAAGGGTAACAGAGAAAAAACGACTGGAGCATAAAGCAAAAGTGAAAAAAAGAGGAGCAAAGTCATACTACACCAAGCACAAGCAAAATAAGTTACAAGGCCATTCAGGTCAAGAGCCAAAAGCAAATGAAACTAGGTCACATTTGGACAGAGTGCTACAAATGCACCTCTCTGCAAGATTGCAACATATAAGTTGTATCTCAGACTCCAATACAAGAGTAATACCAGGAAAACTTTTGGTGGAAAGGTTAAAAAAATTGTACTTCGAATCAGCAAGGGTGCCAATAGAAGACAGCAATGTACAAATTTTGTGAGCCGGTCACAATTTCTCTACGGACTTGTTGCAAAACAGTTAAGACTCTTTCGCAACAACTTAAAAGAACTCAAATTTGCCCCCAAGATTTTGCACATACTTTAATTTCTGATACAAGCTACTATAAAACTTTTATGCCATCAAAGTTAAATCCCAAAATGCAGCAAACTGCCAACATAAAAAATTGTATAACACTGGTCTCCATTAACTTTTTTTCCGCTCATAATCAACATAATCAATGATTGAACAAAACATCCTGTAATTAATTCAGACCAGCCCTTTTGTATAATCATTTGCCTACTTTCATGCACTCTGGACTAATCCAACCACCTGGCTAATTATAGGGACTTTCAAATGGTGTACAAGTTCATACCACAATGCTGCCAGAACCCAACTGGAGATGTTAGATTGTTAAACACCAAATGAACTAAAAACAAACACTTCCCACGATCAGAAATGAAACGATAAAAAAACAAAAGTAGACATTCAATACAAATCAAAGTAAAATAACTGTGAAATCAGTTGGTTAGAACAATCAAACACAGCTAAACACACAGAGAAGCACATTGAAAAACCACAGTGATGAAATTAAAGAACATATTAGTTGAAAAAGAAAAAATAAACCCAAAAAAATCTAGAAAAACCTAGATCCAAAAATGAAAGACAGAAGAAAACCTTGATTTAACAGTCGGCTACATATTGGAAGAACTTGCATAAAAGGTCCAAGCTTTTGATGTTCTGCTAATAACTCTGACAAGTACTGACTGCAAAAGGCAAGTAACAATTAGAACAGATCAAAACAACAGAATTCTCTACACAAAGATTCAAAAACAAAACACAATTCAACAAAATCAGTATAAAAGACCTAGTCTTTTCTCTTCACTTTGTGAAAAAGAAATGATGGGGTTTGTAGAAAGAACTCACTAAGCCTGCTTACCTGTCAACATCTGGAGTGCTTCTAATCTGAGGAGAAGCAGCTCTTGCAGGTGAAAAGTTGGGATTATACAAACCTGACATGGGTTTTTTGGTTTGCTTTTGTGGAGATTTTTTTTTTTTTTTTGTGTTTTCGGTTTTTCTTTTTCGAACAAACAAAAGAATATTAAGACTGGAAAAGAAAAAACAAAGAAAGGTGGGGGTTTTAGTTTTAGTTGTGGTTGTTGCAGAAGGAAAAGGAGAAACACAATACCATCAATAAAGGAGTGAGTTTTGTAATAATCTCCCCCAACAAAACAAAATAATTAATAATCCTAATAATAAGTATCAGAAAAAATATTATATATCAAAAAACAAAAAATCAGAAAAGGGTCTGGCAACTTACTGGTCTACTCTCCCATTATCTAGACAACAAAACTATCTTGTGAAATTTTGCAGAAAGTAAAGACAAAAATGTTTATATTTACCACATTATATTTTCTCTTTATTTACACATTTCTTAACACTAACAATTTAATAATAAAAAATAATAATAATTGCGAAGTTAGTCCTTAGTCAAAGCCATTAACTCTCTGTTTAATTTTTCGTCATCGGGATTCCATAGGGTAATTACAGTAAAATATTTATAAATCATCTAATTCCAGCATAAAAACAAACGACCTTAATACATCAAAACCGACTCTAGGATATCTATCATAAGGTAATAAAGTAAAGTCACGTAAATAAAGAAAGAGAAAAATATCACATGTCCCTAAAAAAATGTTTTTGCGTAAATTAAGAACGAGAAAAACATGGAAAAAGAGTGAATCGTTGGAGCTATATAAGGTAAGTGGCATGCACAAGAATGAAAGATGGCAGGAAATTTTCACAGTGGCCGAGAGAAAAGTAAAAATCCCAGAGTGGATAGAGAGAGAGAGAGAGATTTTACTGTTTATAGCAATGGGAGAGGTGGGAAACCTTTTAGGTCTTTGTGTGTTTACTGTAGAGGAAGGTCTTTGTTGTGGCTGTGAGGACACGTGTTAACCATGCAGAAAATCAATCCATGTCTGTATTTGAAATGAAAGGGTCCCACACCAAGTAGAGTGTCCAATGCCAATTGATAATGATGTCGCCAACCCAGTCTGAGCTGTTGCGGAAGAATGCGCTCCTACACTTTATACGAACTACGTCGTTTGGATCGAGGACAGATCAAGTCGAATGTCATTTGAAGTCCATTAAAGATATTTTCTTGGTTACTCCTACTACATTCCTAAATAGTCCGATTAGCGAGCAATGGATCCAATTTATTATTAGATTTTTTTTCTTGATATTTTTTTATTATAGAGTAGAGATTCGTACTCGATATATATATATATATATATATATTTTTTTTTCTTGTTTAACTATAATTTATTAATTTTCTTAATATTTAGCTTTATTCATAATCTTACTAATGTTTAGGGGAAAAAATCAAAAAAAAAAAAAAAGCTCTTTTATAAGAAAATAATTACAGAGAAAATTTTTGAGCTACCAAAACTCGTGATTGATGTGAAACCAATAATTAGTAGGATACATCAATCTAATAATTTATTATTAATTTTGTGTAATAAAAGAGGTGTTGTTTTTAATTATTAGATGTAAGATGAAATTAAAACCAAATGCATTGGTAATTACAGAAGTTGGATCTCGTGAAGTCTCCCATCTTTTTATTTATATATTTTTTTATATAAAATACTTATTTGGTCAAAATTTTAAGTAATGTATGCTTTCAAAATCTATTTTATAAAAAAAAATTGTTTGAATACGATTTTTATTTATTTAAAAATTTATATTTTGAAAATAAAATAAATATTGATATATCGTGACAATTAATAATCTTCTAGACATGTATAAAAAATAAAAAAAGGACAATTTCTTTGGAAACAAAGGTAGTTGTATTTAGGAGGTTCAATTGAGAAAATTAATAATGAGTTAATTTGTGTCATTAGATTGGTGACTAATTTTGTCACTTGCTCTTTCTTTTTACTACTATGAACTTATTTTTATTTTTCACGGTGCAAGAGTTATAGACGAGTTGAGCGGCTGCAAGTGGTTTAAAGCTAAGCTTGCTTCGAAGTTGACTCAATGCTTATTTGCTAAGCTTTATAAATCAATTTGAATTTATTCTTAACTCGTTTTATAAAAAAAAAGTCGAGCTCAACTCATACAGACTCGTAAAGCGGATTCAATTAGATCTTTGAATTAATGAGATTTATAATTGAATTTTATTTTAAAAATATGATTTAACATATCAAATGTATTATTAGGGTTTTTCCTGATTTTTTATTTATTTATTACAAGGTAGGGACTTAAACACCTATTGAACTATAATTTATTAGCTTTCTTAATGCTTAGCATTATTCACATTTAAAAAAAATCAAGGAAAAAAATAATGCTTTTTTGTAAGAAAATAATCACAAGAAAATTTATGAGTTATCAAAAGTGAAACCTATTAATAGGTTCCATCAATCTAATAATTTATTATTTTTGTGGTAATGAGAGAGGTGCTTTTCTATTTGATGCAACATGAAATTAAGAACATACGCATTAATGATTGTGGAAGATGGATCTCATTAAAAACAATACTCCCTTTGCCCCCCACCTTTCTATTTATATTTTCTATAAAATGTTTGCTTGATCAAAACATTGATATGTCATAAGAATTAATAGTCTTTTTAATATGTACAAGGGTTGATACTTTCATCTATCTTTATATAATAGGTCAAATTTTTAATCTGTTCATAAATTAAAAAACGCTCATAATATGATCTTATTATTTAAGTTGGTTTTTAATTTATTTTGTTAGCTAAAATTTTCAATTAAATTAAACATATGATTTGCACATGGTATGTGATTTGACAAAAAAAAAATTTGTTCTTTAAAGCAAATAATCTATATCTATTAATATGATAAAAAAAAATAATGCTATTTTGTAAGAATATAATTTTAAAAATATATCTATAGCTATCAAAACACATGGTTTAACCCTATTAATAAGTTGCATCAATTTAATAATTTATTATTTTTGTTGTAATGAGAGAGATGTTGTTTCTATTTGATGGGATGTTGAAATTAAGACCAATTGCATTGATAATTATAAAAGATGGAAGATTCTTTTACGACTTTCTTTCTCGACAATCTAAACCACGCAGGTATGAACTCGATTTAAACAAGAATCATAGTAGGTCTCAACGAGTGTCATGAGGAATGATATTCTCTACGAACCACACTTTTTTATTTACATATCTTTCAAAATATTTATCTCGTCAAAATTTTAAGTGATATAATTTTTTAAATATTTTTAATTAAAAATTATTTTGTAAAAGATCATTCAAATATAATTTTAAAAAAAATTAAAAACAAAAAAGATATCTATGAGATAAAAATTAATGATCTTTTTAATTTGTATAAAAAATCAAATAAGACAACATCTTTTGAGAACAAAGATGATAGTACGTAGGGGAATCAATTAAGAAAATTATTCGTGAGTTAATTCAAATAGGAGTTATTAGGTTGGTTACTAATTTGTCACTCGTAGTTTTCTTTTTATTACTATGAGTTTGTTGTTTTTGTTTTTGCTTTTTGTTTTTTTTTTTGGCCTTTTCACATTACAAGAGTTATAAACGAGTTGAACGGTTGTGAATGGTTTAAAGCTCCGCTTGCTTCGAAATTAACTTAACGCTCATTTGTTAAGATTTATAAATTAATTTAAATTCAATCTTAAAACTCATTTTATAAAGAAGTCGAGTTTGTAGTTAGTTTAGTTCAACTCATTTACTAATAAACCGATTCAATGAGGTTTTATCAAATGGTTTATAAAATAACTTAAATGTTTGTTTGATCACATATTTAATTTCTTCTATTAAAATATATTTATCTAACATCAGTAAAATCACAATGATAGTATAAAAATAAGTTTCATCTTTATTTGTTGTTTTTCTTCTTCTTGTTTTTTTTTCCTCGCTCAAATAGTTAGTTCGTAATGCTATACTAATATATGAAAGTATAAGCTCCGCTCATATACAAGTTAATGGATCGATTTAGAAGAGTATGACTAGAGATAAGTTCGAGCTTCATTAATCTTAAAGAGTCGAGCTTGACTTAACATAGTATATTTGTCATGAACACAAACTCGCCTGTTTATAAAATTAAGTGAAGGGAATTTTATCATATATTGAAAATATAATTAATTTTATCAAGGATTGATGGAAGTGAAAAATTTTAACTTTTTTCAACAATTATGATTTTAAAATTTAAATTCTATACATTGACAAAAAATTCAGAGACCGATTTGTTTATCAATGAACAATAGTTAGTAATGTGTAATATCTCAATATAACATGGAAAAACTATTTCATTTAAAATCGTAAAATTACCTTTTAAACATAAATACATACATTTTATATCAATGCCATTTGTTTACGAATGATACAAGCCCCTCCCCAATTTTTCTTTGATCATAGGAAATATTTCTTTTGACAGTAATTCCTAAACGTATTAGGCATCATAATTTGGCACCGATCATGTCAATTCCCTATCCTAATCTACTGTTTTTTTTTTTTAAAAAAAAAAATCGATCAAATTCAAGGTAGGGCAGTATCTTGCTCCCTCATCTTGCCCCACCTCTCAGTCTACCCTTGACTTTGTTTTTCTATAAATACATTACGAAATTTAATGATATTTTTTCACCTTTATTGTACAAAAAATAAATAAAAATAAAAATAAAATAAGTACCATACAAGAAAGAATAAAAGACCCGACCCGGGTAGAAAACCCAACAGAAGGTAAAAAGTCGATCCTATTCGACCCAAGAAAGAATCGTAAAGCCCATGGCCATGGGCCAGAGGGAAAACAATGAATAACAAGCCAGGCACAGAGCTTAAGAAAATAGAGGGAGCGAGAGAGAGAGAGGAGAAGAAGAAGAAGAAGAAGAGAGAGAGAGAGAGATAAGAAGAGATCCGTTAATGGCGTGGTATTTGATAGAAGCAGCATTGCCGTTAGGAGTGATAGCAGGAATGCTTTGTATAGCGGGTAACATTCAGTATGCCGTTCACAAAAAGGCTCATGGCCGTCCGAAGCATATCGGAAATGATATGTGGGATGTCGCCATGGAAAGAAGGGACAAGAAGCTCGTCGAGTCTGTCTCTGCTCCTTCTCCCAATTAGATTTTATTCTCTGGTACTGATTTTTTCTCTCTCTGTTTAATTTGTTTTCTGTTTGGTGTTCAGTTCGTTAATTAGGGTTTTGATTTTTTTATTAATTCAATTGTAAGCTAATTAGATTGATTAGGTATTGTTCGAATCCAAAACTAGTGAGAAGATTGGTAATTGGATAATTAGTAATACATACTGATAAGTACAAGCGTCCATCTTTCTCCTCCACTTTTTTCATGGAAATGATTGCAGTAAGTTTAGGTTTTGTAATGAAAGCTTCAGAATTTCTTAAAACTGGCCCATCTTGGTGAATAATATCTCTTAATAAACCCACTTTGATTGTGCTAGGTGCACCTTGAAGAAAAGTAATTTCAAGGTAATTTTTCTGACAATAAGACATTGCGACAATGCTCACCTGCATTAAAAGTAGGCTGATTCTATTAAACATGTGTAGCGAGAAATCATTTTAGGAAAGAAGATAATTGATCTCTGTGTCATCTTCGTGCCCAATAGTTTTCCTGTTGGGAGATAAACTTCTTAGAGCATTTTTGAAATCTTTGGAAGCATCCTAAGCCTTTTTTAAAAAAAAAAAAAAATTGGCAGAATAGTTTCAATCTTATTTCCTATGGAAACCAATAACAAAGTTTGGGTTGATGGATCATATTGGATTATTGGGCTTATTTGACTGTATCTTCTATATTAATCAAGATTAATGGATAGGATATATAAAACCAATTGTTCCATCTTAGCCTTTTGGACAATAAGGGGAAGCTGTATGATTTGTTTTAATTGTCATCTGAGGGCTAACAGAATGAGGTGATTCTGTACCTCAATTAAAAGAGTGTTTCAGATTTCAGATAGAAACATTGAAGCCTATTTCGTTAGCTTCTAATTTGATCAGAAATGAATGCCTCCTACTCATTCCATCAGTAGAGTATTTGAAAAATGTTTAGATGGTTTTTTTTTCATCGTAAAGGGTTACAGTTTTTAGATGATGCTTGCCTAGAAAATGCGAAAGAGTGGAAATAAAGAATGCAACATACAGAAAGGAATCAGTTAGAAATATTTGTTGTCAATTTTTTTTCAGCTGGGTGCGCCCTTTTACCAAGCTGAATTGCTCTGGAAAATTTGACAGTGGATGACTAAAGTTAGTCATCGGTCTTGTGATATTTCTGGGTTTGTCATCTTTAATCAATTGATTTTGTAAGCTTCTATTTTTGTTATTAGAAACATGGTTTGAAAATCATGATAAGAGTTGGATATGAGGATGTTTAAATTTGTGTTTAGGAAATCATATGATGTGTGGCATGATGGTAAATATTTATTGGGATCTTTTTTTTTTTTTTTGGGGGGGGGGGGGGGGGGCGGGGCGGTGTTGGAGATTCCTATTTGTTGATTTTATGCTTCTGCTTATGTTATTGAGAAATCAAATGAGGTGCCGCTAAAGACTTCATGGTTGAGATACAATAATGTGTAGCTTTAAGGAGTTAAGGAGAATGATGTGGTCACAACAAGCTTCTATATCTCTCTCCAATTACTTCTGCTCTGTGTGTGTCACGATTGTTCATTTATTTGGAACGTTTTATGATATCATGATATCTAATGCAGGAAGCCTTTCATATGGACTCCTGAAGAAGAAATATCGTGCACATTTGACATCCCAGTTACTCTTAAGGAAGTCCTATGGGCAGCATCAGTTTGGTCTTTCTTTTATTTTGTTTGTTTGTGAATTTCTGTGAAGCAATTGAACTCATAAAACAAATTGCAGACTCCTTATCCTGCGTTTTAAACTATTGTAATAAAGTTGGCTTTTTTACAACTTTGTTGGTATTATAATCCATGTTACTTTTTTTTGCTTATGTTTGCTTCTTGACTGCAATTGTTGAGGATCTACTCAATGTTCATTGCTCAAGAATGTTGCTGTCTGTGAGATGCATCCTAGAGTTGAGAAGTTTTCATAGGAATTCCAGGTCTAATATTTTAATTGGATCATCAAATTATAAAGGTAAAACAATTAAGAATCAACAGATTGCAGCTTCTTTGTTTGGTAAAATACTTCTGCTGTGGAGTTGGGTTTGGGGCGACTTTATTGGGCTTGGTGATCCTATAGTAAGATATCAGTTAGATACTCACGTAAAGCTGCAGTCAAACAATCATTACATGTGTAGAATTAACGATTCATATGATGTAATGTGAGTAGAATTTTTATTTCTGATGATTAATATAAATCAAATATATAAATTGAGCAAAATCGTTAGATTTATATATATTTATTAAAAAAATATTTAATAATATTAGCATAAAAATTTGTATTTGAATAATTGGGAGGTTCTTTCAAAGCATTATGTAACTTATTTTGTTTTGAAAAAGCAAATTTTAGAATATGAAAAATTAAATAACAAAGAATTGATACTATGTGTGTAGATATATAGTTAATTTTTAACAAAACTAATGATGCGTGTGTTCATGCGTGCACACACACACACACACACACATATAGAATAAATAAAAAAATATTAAAAAAATCCATCTAAATTGTATGAAATATATTTAAGTCAATAAATTATAATAAAAACTACAACAAAATTGATTCCGATAAATTCTAAATATATAACAACAAATAAAACTTGTGAATTCTTTTAATTGATTATTAATTTATTTTTTAAAAAAATTGAGTTAAACTATTTAAAACATATTTTTAGCTTATATATATATATATATATATATATATATATATATATATATATAAGAACAAATAAAACTTATGAATTCTTTTAACCGATTATTAATTTTTTTAAAAAGAAAATTGAGTCAAACTATTTAAAATATACTTTTAGCTCTCTTTATCTCTATCTCGGAATTTATAAATTATAATAACATATTTTTAAAAAATAAAACACTCATTTAAAAAGCAAAAGAAGAATTTATTGTATAAATTATAATAATATATTTTTTAAAAATAAAACATTAATGTTCTAAATTTTTATTCCAAAATTCATATATAAAAAAACTAAATTTATATATATAACAATAAATAAAACTTGTGAATTCTTATTAATGTTTTTTTTTAAAAAAAAATTGAGTCAAACTATTTAAAATATACTTTTAGCTCTCTCTCTCTATCTCGGAATTTATAAATTATAATAATATATTTAAAAAAAAATAAAAAATTAATGTTCCAAATTTTTATTCCAAAATTCATATATCAAAAAATTAAATTTATTAACAAATAAAATTATATCAAAAAATTAATTTGATTAGAATTTTAATAAGAAACAAATAATTAAAGAAATTAATTTTAAACAATAAAAATAATATAATCGGATGTACATGTTCAAGTTAAAATTAAAAAAAAAAACATACATATTATATCATATTCAAACCGTACATAAAAAAAAAAAAGAATAACAATTTATTTTTTATATTTTTCACACCTAATTCCATATATATAATTTTTTTTCTTTATATATATATATAGGAAGAGGGAAAAAAAAAAACAAAAAAGGGCAAGGCTAGCGCTTGGTGGTTTGTGCGACCAAGACGGCCTATATATATATATAATCCGCAACTTTCGACGAATTCGAGATCATCGAATCTTCATCAAAAAATCGAGGGTCAAGTTTCGGACTCTAAGAAATTCAATTCCAACATCATTTTTTTCTCCAAACACCTCTAAATGATCGGAATAAAACCAATAAATACATTTAAAACCTTAAAAATTATTTTAATGTACAAAAAAAAAAATACATAATCAAATCGGAACTTTTTTTCTTTTTTTCTGGTCCGATCTACTTCCTTTAATTATTTAATGGCTTAAAACCACCATAGATAAACTTATCTCTCAAAGATAAAAAAAAATATAATGGATTTTCTCCAACCAAAATGGCTTAAATAAGCTTAGTCGGCAATCTCTCTCTTTCTCCCTCCCTTCTCTTTATACATAGGGACCAAAATGGATTAGCAAATGAAGATGTAGATCGAAGCATTCATTTGAAAATATCGTAAATCAAAATATAAAGGTTGTATAATTTTCACAAATAAAAATTTTTAAAATAACAAAAAAGCCATCCACGATGCACCGAAATGAATAGTGAAAAGTTCACTTCTTTTAGTTACATAGAGATGATTTGGGCGCTTCACAATCGTGAGGCCTCACTACAAGAAGTGGTTTTCATTCTACCTTAGGTTGTTGGTACCATGGTATTATTTCAAGCAATTGTATCAACCAAGTTAGTAGACATATCAAAAACAGAAGTTGACACAAACCATACCGAAAAGCTTATTAGAAAAGTAGATTGCTTTGTGAATTTTATTAAAAGGTCAACGATTTTTAGAACTAGGTATCTGATGTATTAGAAGCCATATTTATCATCTCAAGAAAGGTGTGGAAAAAAATGATGAGGATGAAAAACAGGATCGGCTATTGGGCCAATACAAAAGGATGGGTTACGCTATTGGGAAATTGCAAGATACATCCTTGAAAAGCTGAGTGAGTTAAATGAGGTAGCAATTCTTTTTACTAAGTACATGAACACTTACCTCACTGTCCATCTACTAAAAGGCTCTATTATAATTGGAACATGTAAGAAAAAATGTTAGCAAAAACCCTTGACCATGTCATAAACAAGAAAATGCTGAATTAAGTGAACAAAATAGAAGCATCTACACTTATAGGCTATTCCTTTGAATCATATAACATTTACGGGCTATTACAAAGATAATTGGGATTAGTTCTGTTCACTTACTGTAGTTTTTGGGACAAAATCTTATTCATGGTGACTTATGCGTACTGTTTGGAGTTTTTTTTCATTTCATCCCTTCATGACTCATGTGCCACTTGATTTCTGCCCTTTGAGTTCTGTTTAATTTTTCTTTTGTCGTTTACTTTCTTTATTGATTTACCTTTCTGCCCTTAAAGGCATATCTTTTGTTTATCTTCATTCTCCTTTTCGTCTGATTTTGGTCTTTTCTGTCCTTCATCGGTCAGCCTTCCTCATTTACTTTTCTTTTCA